ATACAAGTATTTAGATCCAGTATGAATCCACTGTCTTTGAGGGTTTAGCCTCGAAACGAGTACATCAAATTTCAAAAAGATAAGAAAGAAAATTTTTCTAAGGTCGACCTTATGATTGCCTGATGAAGCTAACCTCAGTAACCAATAAAGATATGACATTAGTGTACTCTCTCAGTTCAACATTGTTTGATGACTTAACAAATAGGTGTAACCAATCAGGGTTAAAAGTCATTGGCACAAAGTCTCAACTTGGTACTGTTGAGTGACAAGACATGAATGTAAAAGATATTGAGTCTAACTTAAATCATAAATGACTCTTTAAGGTCAGCCTTATGATTGCCTGATGAAGCTAACATCAGTAACCAATAGAGATATGACATTAGTGTACTCTCTCAGTTCAACACTGTTTGTTGACTTGACAAATAACCAATCAGGGTTAAAAGTCATTGGCACAGAGTCTCAACTCGGTACCGCTGAGTGAAAAGACAGGAATGTAAAATATATTAAGTCTTCTTTGCCTATAAAAAGAGTATGGTATCTTTAGAAAAAGGGAGAGAGCACTTTCATATTTCAAATATCTCATTTGATGAAAACTCTTGTAATTTATAAGTGATTTTCAATAAAAATCTTTATTTACTTTTCCGAAGTAGACTTGAATTGATTTAAACACTTTTTAACGTCAACAGATTTGATTAGATTTTATAGACCTCCTAGCTTACTCCGTTAGTTTGTGGGGGTAGAAGTTTCACCGTTGTAAAAAAAAATTAAAAAAAGAAGCAATGATGGCTAAGCGTGTAAGATCTGCAGTTCTAACTTGAATCATAAACAATAATCTTTTTTGTAGATTATAAGTTGTGATTCAGCGGAATATTTGTCAAATAGAAGACTTCGTCAACGAAAACTTCTTTTAAAGCGCTCGTCTCTTCCCTATCCTCATTCTGCTAATGCGAATAACCCGTTCTTAATTCTTAAAGATATGTGTGGATATAAGTTGTCATATGTTGCTTATAAGCTTGAAAAAGCTTTAAAAACATAATCATAGCTATAGGTTTATAATTTATTTTTGTAAGGATTAAGTCCACGTTTGAGAGCCATTAAAATAAAGCTCTTTTTTTTTTCATCAAACTCATTTTCAATTACACATTCTTACAATAAAAAATGTTGTGCGTAAATCTAAAAAAATTTCATACACTACGGATTTTCAAAAAATTCACTATTCCAAAAATTATTTTCTAAAAAAAAAATCATTTTAATTGTTGTCAAACGGAGGCAATCTTAACATATATTTGGAATCTATATTGATACATTCATCACCCTGATTCTCTAGGAAACAAAAACACGAAATCAATATATATGATCAATAAAATGTGCATTTTAAATTTAACTGTAACCACCATCATCGTCTCCATTCTCATCTTGAAATTCTATGATGATCAAGGATTACACTTTTTTTTAACCTCGGTTTGGTAATTGACAAACTTAATGGATCGCTCTCATAATAAATTCAATTCCAATGTAAACAAAAAAAAAACCCTATTTAGTATCCATTTGATAAATTTATAAATTAATTTATAAAGGGAAATAGTAGTAGATTTTGTAAATTCATAAATTATATCCACACGGAAAAATAATACTTTACTCAAAAATAGTCAAAGAAAAGAAATGGCATACGTACAAAATGAAAAAGGGGTCAAAGTCAACGGTAAACAAGTACAAAATCAGTCTCAAAATCTGGGATGCGACGGTGGTAGTCAACAATCTCTTCTGCTAAGCATTAACTATTGTATGAAAAACCTCAACACTGCTACCCCAAACTAGAAGAGAAATGTCTTGCGTCCCATTTAATATATCATTTAGCATCATTTAAATTAGAGTTATAACTACAGTGTGACTAAGGTTCTGTCTGAGAGTAATTTTTTGGACCAAAACATTGATTTTTCAACCGTTAATTTCAACACGGGTCCCACCAATGTGAGGAGGGAGTCAACAAGTGCGGCTCCAACGGTTTAAAAAATGATTAAAATCTTGAGGAAAATTGGAAACAGACAGTCCCTAAATAGTATTACTTAAACTAAAATCTTCACCATCTTAATTGCTTTATTTAAAATATAGTTATGAAATATAAGAATCAAGTTCGAAAATAACTTCCACGATCTCCAAGGCGAACAGAAATTGAAAGAGATAAAGTTGTATTTTTCTGTAGAAAGATTCTTGTATTTCAATATAAATGGTTCATATGATCATTGAACAAGAACCAAAAATAAAGCCCTTCGGGGGTAGTCGAATTGGTGGAGCAGGTGAACGCGGAGACCAAATGTCACTAGTTCGAATCCCTTGCCAACACTTCCTCAATCGAGCCCATTGCATCTGGCTTACATAGTGCGGTTTACCTTTCCTCTGTGGTTTGCGGGCTACTACACATGGAGCGGAGTTTACCTAATACGCACTCATAGTGGTTTGGCCTCTGCACCTTCGGGGTGGTCGGGGCTCCGCTAGTGGGTAGCGGCCGCGGGTTCCTATGTCAACCAAAAAA